CCTCCCTCCAGCTTTTTATCTCCATACCAGCACTGATCTGCTCATCTCTTTTCTTCATTCTTATCCCTCAGAAACATGCATTATCCACCAGAGACTTCCAGCATCATGCTGATGGCCCGGATGGTTGCCACCATCAAACAGGTACGTCTGTAGTTTGGAGCCACAGCTGCTGGTGTGTGGTTTCCTCATCATGTTGTGGTTGTTATTCCCAAAAACTGATCTCTGTTGACTGGCAGGGTCCTGCTTCAATAGATTTCAGCTTTTAGTGGTCCCTGGTTCTGGAAACAGCAGGCAACAGAGGAGGTTTCTGTGTCCTGAGGTCTTTATTTCCCTACCAAGACAGTCAGATCTGACCCTTTCCTTTGGCTTGGCTTTCTCAGCATCTGTTCTGACAATAAACTGCCACCACCCAACTGCTTCTGGTGGGTCTTGATAGCAGGATGGGTACCTCCGAGTTCAGTGGGGCTTCTCCTCTTCCTCTCCTCTTCTTCCCCTCTTCCTCTCCTCTTCTTCCCCTCTCCCTCTTCCTCTCCTCTTCTTCCCCTCTCCCTCTTCCTCTCCTCTTCTTCCCCTCTCCCTCTTCCTCTCCTCTTCTTCCCCTCTCCCTCTCCCTCTTTCTTCCCCCCTCTCCCTCTCCCTCTTTCTTCCCCCTCTCCCTCTTTCTTCCCCCTCTCCCTCTTTCTTTCCCCTCTCCCTCTTTCTTTCCCCTCTCCCTCTTTCTTCCCCCTCTCCCTCTTTCTTCCCCCTCTCCCTCTTTCTTCCCCCTCTCCCTCTTTCTTCCCCCTCTCCCCTCTCCTGGCTGGGGAGGAAAGCAGTGTGGGTTCAATGCCTTTGCTTGGTTCCTTTTGTCAGGCTAAAGACAAGGAGTGGTGGATCAAAGTCTTCTCCCAGTTCTGCAATAAGACAGCAAACGAAGAGGAGGAGATTGTGCACAAGCTGCTGGGGGACAAATTCAAGGTAAGAGCCTGCAGTGCTTGGATGTGTTGAATCCCTCAGCCTGCCCTCTCCCTGTGAGCCCACCTCTGTGAGCCCACGGGTGCAGAGGCCCTGTTAGGGCTGGGATGGGAGACACTGGAAATCCCAGGCTCAAAGGGGGGGACAAAAGCCCCCCATTAAAGAGCTGACTGACCTGACAGAGAGGAAACAGGTTGCTTGGAGGACTTTGGGCTTGTGGTGCTTCAGTGGGACATGCTGCTTCTTCCTGTGGTGGAGATACTTCTGCTGTAGGGTGGGACAGGGTGATACTTCGCTGCTGAGTGGGTGGTTTTTACTGCTAAAATGAGTGGCTTTGAGGGCAGCAGCCTCCAGCCTTGTAGAGAAGGATGAGGAGCTTGACTCCTGGACCTTCTAACCTGTGATGGGCTCGACCATCAGCCTGGATCTGACTCCCAGCAGTGTCTCCCCACCCTGACGGTGTTGCCATGTCCTGCCAGGGCCAGCTGGAGCTGCTGCGGTTGCTCTTCACCGAAGCCCTTTATGATGAACATCTCAGCAGGGTGAGTTGAGCCACCTCTGGACTAGCTCAGGCGCGTGGTGGGACCCTCTGCTTGGTGCCAGCCCCACCCTGAGTCATGTCTGCCCCAAAGGCCAGGGCTTCCCATGGGAATTTCACCATTCCTTGCTTCCCCCAAAGCTCCCTGTGGGATTTGAGGTGCTTGCAGAGTGGGGTGCTGCTGCAGCCTGGCCTGGGCTCAGCTGCTTTCTCATCTCCCTTCTGCAGTGGTTCACTCCAGAAGGCTTTCGATCCCTCTTTGCTCTCGTTGGGACCAATGGCCAAGGCATAGGAACCAGGTAATGGGGCTTTTTGGGTTCTCCTTGCAAGGGCAGCAGAGATGTGACATGGAGGGGACATCTGTAAATTCGTCATGGCTTGGGTAGTGGCTGGGTTTGGACATGAGAGATGAGGCTGGAAAGGCAAACTTGTAAGCCGTCCTTTGTCTTGGCTGTGTCCAACCCTTTCATAGAATCATAGAATAGTTTGGGTTGGATGGGATTTTAAAGCTCATCCAGTTCCAACCCCCCTGCCAGCAGCAGGGACACCTTCCACTAGACCAGGTTGCTCAAAGCCTCATCCAACCTGGCCTTCAACACTTCCAGGGAGGAGCAGCCACAGCTTCTCTGGCCAAGCTGGGACACTGTCTCACTTTCACATCCCTCTGCCAGATCTTGGCCACTGAAAGCCACTGAGTTTAACTCTTAGATCCCCCCTTGGTGTGAGGTCCCACCATGTGCCAGCAGCCCTGTGGGGCTCTGACGATGTCCCTCTGCTCCCTGACAGCTCTCTGAGCCAGTGGGTCCACGCTTGTGACGCTCTGGATCTCCCCATGCTGCAGCGAGAGGAGCTGGACGCCTTCATCGACCAACTCTACAAGGACATTGAGAAGGGTGAGGCTCTGACGTGGCCGTGGGCAGCACCACGCAGTGCTGTTTTCAGGAGAATGCTGGAGACTCTTCTCAGCATTCAGGGAATGGGAGAGGTTCTCCCTGGAGATCAGGAGATTCCCTTTCCCCTGGTCCGTACAAGCCATGCCTGCTGCCTTCGGCTCTCTGCGTGGATCAGGGAAGTCCCAGGCTTGTGGGCAGCGTGGCCCAGGTGAGCTGTGACAGGTCAGGGTGGCTGGAGGGCTGATCCTGTGCAGGATGGTTCCATCTACACCCAACATCAAAGAGATTTTCATCACTTATTTGATTGATGCAGCTGTGTGAGTACAGGGACAGGTCAGGGAGCACACACTTAAACTGGGGCTGCAAATCTTCATGTCCTCCATCTCCTCCTGGTGAGGAGGGAAAGGTGTTTTGGAAACCACCCTCCAAACACCCAGCTCCCAAAGCAGTGCTGGCACTGAGGTACATCCCTTGGTGCTCACACTGAGCTGTGCTGGTGGAAGGGCCAGAACAGCTCGTGCAAAGCTTTAACCCCCCTTCTCTGTGCTGCAGAGTCAGGAGAGTTCCTCAACTGTGAGGGATCGGGTCTCTACGTGCTCCAGAGCTGCTGTAAGTAACACAAAGACTGGGAGGAGAACTGGTAATGAGGAGGGGGATGTTCTGGGCTCACCTCTTACTAAAAGCTTCTGAAGAAAGGGGTTTATGCTTCATATCCATGGGATTGGGTGGGATGGGATGGGTGCTGCCCTGGGACCTGGCTGCTCTCTCAGGGTCTCCTGGCATCTCACCCAGCTATGGGGAGTCCTGACTGGAATGGACTTGGATGTGACACGAGCTGCTGTGCAGTTGGCAAAGAGACCATCTCCAGATCTGGCCAGGCTGGAGAGGTGGGTGCAGAGGAACCTGGTGAGGTTCAATA